TGATTTTTTTTCTGTCCAATGCCAAGGCAGAACCTCAGAAACTTCCAGTGTCTGAAGGGGCTACAGGGAATCTGGACAGGGACTCTTGATCAGGAACTGTAATGACAGTTATGGGTAATGTGTATGAATTGAAGGAGAAATTTAGGTTGGATATTAGGAAGAAATTCTTTACTGTGAGGGTGGTGAGACACTGGCACAGGTTGCCCATGGAGGTTGTGGATGCTCCAACCCTGGCAGTGTTCAAAGCCAGGTTGGATAAGGCCTTGAGCAACCTGGGCTAGTGGAAGGTGTCCCTGCCCATGGCAGAGGGGATTGGTACTAGATGAATGACTATGGCCATTCCAACCCCTTAACATTCTGTGGTTGAAGCTCTCACAGTTGTCAACATACAGAGAATGTTTAACACAAAGGCACAGCTGCTGAAACTGCAAAATTTAACTGCCAAGGGGCAGCAAGGACAGGCTGCTCTGCAGGGTGTGGTGAAAGAGGAGTCAAGGGACCTCACTGTCACTGAGCAGGTCCTGAGACTGGTCACCAGACAAACCCACAGGGATCAGTGGAGCAGGGAGCCAAGGCAGTGTCGGGGCAGGGGAGGCACAGCTGGGCACAGCACAGCCCTGGGCAGCCCAGGGAAGGACAGTAGCTCAAGCACAGCTCCCGGGACATGGGGCAGAGGCCACAGACACTGCTGGTGACACCCACCTGTCTGATCCCAGCACAGTGTCAGAGCCTTTGAACCCAGGCAACCAAACCCAGGGAACCCCAGAACCTGTCACTGCACTCCAGGACCTGACAATCCCATTGGAACAGCCCTGATCTGACAGGGAACATCCTACCAGTCTGTGAAAACTATCAGGCTTGACTGATCTGTGATCTCTATTTCTTTAAACTGACTTCTGCCTGGTTTTAAACCTTCCTGCTAAGAATTCATGCAAGGAACTCACCTGAATTGGAAAATCCAGCAAAGGCACTATCTCCTCTCTTATCCAGGCCCTGAAATTGTTACTCCTCCAATCCATACCATTAAAAAGGCACTTAGCACTATAGGTCCATATTATCTTGTTGACGCTTGCTAGTGACTACTTACTGCCTCCAGAAAATATAAAAGCTACAGTAAAACTAAGTCTACACAGTATCAAATAACCACAAAGTGAATAAAGAGAGTTAGTAACATACAATTTCCTCTACAGACCGCAGTTAGTTTTACTGTAGCAGTACAATACAATTATTTGTTATTTCAAAGAAAAAATAAATTTAAAAAAAGGATTTTGGCATCTACATTAAAAAAAAATCACAACATTTATAACCAAAATATATCCCATCACAAAATAACTACAGCATGAAGCTGCACTGGTGATGGCAATAATAATAGTGATTTGTTCACATCAGTACCATAAGTTTTAGAGCTCAACTGCAGCTTTGCCAGAAACCCAACCCTGCATGCTGAAGAGTTGTTCATACTGCAAATGCCCATCAAAGCTACCTCTGACACAGGAAAACGTGTATCAGCACCAAACCTATGGTCTTCTACTAAAAAATTCTCCAGATACTGAGGAGTGAGTCTGTTCCTTTGGTGGTTACTTGCCAAGCCAAGTGCAGTGAGCTCAGATAAGCTCACACCTTCCACAAGGTGCAACTCAGTGAGAAAACCCTTTTTTATGAACATGTGGAAGATCATCTGGATATTGAGATGCTGAAGGTCTGGTTTTATCTGGCACAGTATTTGCTTCTATGGAACACCAGCCCTGGACATGCTGCTGTGTTGATTATGCCACACAGAATTCAGAGAAAGTAAACAGAAAAGTATTTCAAATTCTATTTTAGCTGAAGTGGAAAAAAGAAACAAACATACAGCCTGTTACATACCCTTTGTACTCCTCTGAAGAAAAATTCAGGAACAGGACATCTCCTACACAGTCCCCTTTATGAACTAAAGAGTGGGGACTGTCACATAAAGGAGGAAGAAATACTACTGAATGTTGCCTTATTGCCATATACTAATCTTCTTGTTACTATTTTGGGAATGCTCCAGTGGGGGGGGAATCATTTATTTTTCCTAGCAATGCATTAGGACCACTTGTGGCACAATGCTTTTAAGCATTCTTTACTACTTTAGGTAATGAAGTGCACATTACAAATGAATCACAATAAACTACATTGAAAAGATAAAGGAAAAGAGGGTAGACTTTATATGCTAAAGCTTTTAAACATCTTGTCTTATCCTTGACATCCTTGCCTGGGTTGAAGAAGAGACTAATGACAGAATTAATTACTGGTTAATTTTCAGTTTTCAGTTACCAGGCAGCAAGAATTAGGGGAAAGTGGAAAAAAAATTAAAGAAATTAATACAACTTTATACCACTTGAACATAAATTGACATCCGACACCATAAGGTCTAATATTAGAGAACTGTAGCTGCTGGAATGTTTATGGTTATGTACAATGTAAAGTAAGTGAACACAAATGTTAAAAGCCAAGTAAAACAACTGGAAAAAAAATCTGAACTTGAATGTTTACTCACAAGAAAATTTAGTGTAACCATCTCTGCATTTTAATTCATCCTTCTGTAAATACTGTGTTTTCTCTTGGAGCTTTTGCTATATACTATATCTTCCTTATTTCAGACTATTAAAACATGTAGTTGTGCTAGTCATCTTTCTCTCTCTCCTATCCCATCCTTTTGGTTATCTTTTCTCACATTACTGCAGTCTGAATTGCAAGTAAGGAAAGAGACACAACTTGCTAGATCTGTTTGAAAGTATTATGTTAAATGTATTTTAACTCCTACAAAACGAGAACGTAAGCATTCTGCAACTTGAAAGTTTTAAAGATCTCGATTCATTATTAACCTTTAACTGTTGAAAACAATAGTATTAATAAAGGTGTATTTTGAATTTATTCTCCCTTAAACCAAGAAACTTAAAATCACCAGTATCTAAGGCATATCATTTGTACTGCCCACAATTAATTGCTCTCTGCCTAATCTGAGTCAGATCCTAGTTCTACATATTTCTTAGAGATTTATTCTCTTACTACTACATACTACTAACAGTAATATGTCGGGCTAGTGGAAAATACTCCAAAGGTGGAAAAAACACCCTGAAATTAAATTAGAAGTTGTTTTGGATTATTTTTAACTGCAGAATTGCTTTGGAAATGAAATCTCAGGTGTGACAGAGTGACAAGCTTTGCTCCAGGCAATCTCAGACTTCTATATTCAGACTAGGCAAGAGCCAAAACAATCACAAAGGTGAGAGCAGCAGTAACCGCGGGCTACCACTTTTCTAACATCATCATCTTGATCCTGACAGAGGGAGCTGTGACACCAACAAAGGGCTGAAACTTGAGCTACCTGACAGAGTAGGTGAACATCCCAGCAGCACACTCAGATTGACCCGATGGATTTTGTCACTGCCGCGGAGTAATGACATGCCCCTTGGCAGGTAGCCTTGCTCAGGATTGAGTAGTGAGCATAGAGCACTTGCGTTTTGGAAATTGGTCTATCAACCTCTTGGTCTGCAGCCAAAGCTCAAGCTGGAACACAGCACAAAGCCAGTGCGAGTGACTGACATCAACACAGCGACAGGCACAACAAAACCCAAGGGAGAAACGGAGAAGGATCTGAGAGTTGCTCCTCAGGACCTGAGTGAAAGGAGTTGCTGCTGCAGCCTCCTGCAGAGGGGGAAGTATCCATGTCACTGAAACTGTCAGCGCTAATTAGAACCCTGCGGGCATCCTCAGGGATTTAACAGACACCAAGGAATAAACTGCCTCTCACTCCTGTGGGCTGCCCCTCAGTCAGAAAACAAGCGAGATAAGGGAAAGGATCGCGTGGGAAGCTTTTCATCTCTCCCGCCTGCGCTGCTCTGTGGCTGAGGGAAATCACTCCAAGCAGCTGCACTGCTGAGAAGTTAATCGTTTTCACAACCACTAGAAGTCACACAACGCCAAACCCTTCCTAAACCTTTCCAAGATGAAATCAGGCCAAACAACTTATTTTCTGCTGATACGATTTTCTCCAGAATACTCATCCTGGGCAATCTTCAGAACATTGCTACAATCCCAAGTAACATGAAAATAATAAGACACGTGGTGAACATGCACAGATATCCAGCATCCAGTAAATTAAAAATATGTTTACATTAAGCTGTATTTTCACAGGTGGAAAAATATTTGCCAAGGTGGCAATTAAAAACTCAAAAAGGATTTCTGAAAGCAAAAGATGCTATCAGTAAATGAAATGAACTATTCTACTTAACTTGAGTAAGAGCCTGTGAATGATGACAATTTAAGTCACAAATGTGCCATTTTAATAGTGCACACTGGACTTCTCAGAGTTTTTTTTTTTTTTAAAGCAGCCACATAAATGCAAAGGCTCCATGTTTGTACAAACCCATCTTATACCTCTGAGTCAAACACAAACTTTAACAGTGACTCAAAACCGAGTGGCTTCAGCTGCATGCTTCAAGTGAGGCATTGACAGGATGAGAACCATAGGGAACATTTTAATAGCAAACACCTGTATGTAAGAAGTGTGGCGTATCTAACATGCTGTGCCTTGACATAGAGGTAAGACAGGCAAGACACCTTGTGGGTCCCTTCCAACTCAGAATATTCTGTGAAATGTTACATATTTTCCACGCCACTCACTAATGACTGAGAATTTTAACCGGTGAAACAGTTAAACTCTGCTAAACACCCTGCTGCTCCACGCATTGCCACCAAGCTCTACAGACCACGCTCCCTAAGCCATGAAGCACTTCTTGTCACCTCCAGTGCTTTAATATCAACAATTTACAGATTCAAAAGACCAAAACTACATTCCACAACATAACAGCACGTGACACCTGACGCTAAACCACCGTTAGGTGCTGCTTGTCACCTGGGGACAAAAGCTGATGGGACAAGACCACTACTCTGAGTAAGTCGCAACTTCCCTCGCGGCCGCAGCCGCCCGTGCCCGCGGCACCCCCGCGTCCCCCCGCCCGCCCCGCACCCACCTCCGCGCTCCTGGACGCACACCACGATCTCCCAGGCGGCCGCCGCCTCCCTGTCCAGGGCCGCGCTCAGCATCACCTCGCCGCTCTCCCGCTCCACGCGCACCGGCGACTCCTCGACGGGCGGCGACAGCAGCTCGAACCAGGCGGCGGCGAAGCGCGCCGGGGCCAGCGTGGCCAGGCGGGTGCCCGGGCGGGCGTCCTCGGGCAGGGCGAGCGCCAGGGGCGCGGCGGGCGGCAGCGCGGCCCGGCGGCGGCGGCGGGGCGGGGGCGGCGGGAGGCGCTTGGGCTGCGGCAGCACCTCCAGCTCCAGGGGCTCGCTGAGCAGCGCGGGCCGCCCGCGGTCCCGCGCGTAGAGGCGCAGCGGGATGGGCGCCCGCAGGTGGAGCAGGGAGCGCACCAGCACCACGCGGCCGCTGCGCGGCACCACGAAGAAGTGCGCGCTGCGCGGGAGGGCGAAGTAGCGCAGCTCCGCGTTGGCGCCCGCGTCCGCGTCCTCGGCCCGCGCCTGCCACACCTGCGACTTGAGCGCCAGCGTCTCCTCCACGCGGAGCTGCGCGGGGCCCGGCCCCACGAACCGCGGCGCGTTGTCGTTGTCGTCCAGGACGCGCACGGTGAGCGCGGCCAGCTCGGCGGGCGCGGCGCCCTGGGGCGCGCAGCGCTTGCAGCACAGCGCCAGGCGCAGCGAGTACAGCGCCCGCGCCTCGCGGTCCAGCGGCCGCCGGGTGCGCAGCCACACGCGGGCCGTGCGCGCGTCCAGCCCCGCCTGGAAGTGCGAGTGCCCCTCGCCCAGCAGCTGCAGGTGCCAGCGGCGCCCCTGCACCTTGGCGCACCAGGGCTCGGGCCCCAGCCGCGTCAGCGGGATGCTCAGCCCGCGCACACGCGTGCCCGCCGGCCGGTTCTCCGCCACCTGCCCGTCGAAGGCGGGTGTCCTGCGCGGGGCGGCGCGGGCGGCGGCCGGAGCCCCGCACAGCAGAGCCCCGCTCAGCAGCAGCAGCAGCAAGCAGCCGGCGGTGCCCAGCGCGCCCATCGCGGCTCGCAGTGCGCGGCGCTCCCGCGGCGAGTGGGCGGGCGGGGAGGGGCCGCGGGGCAGGGCCGCGCCCGGGGGGCAGCCGGGGCCGCGCCCGCCCCCGCCCTGACTCCTCCCGGCCGGGTTGGGGTGTCCCCGCCGGGTGAACTGTCCCAGTTACCTTGCTGATGGAATAATCTCCCCGGCCCCCCACCTTCCCCAGGAGCCAAGTTCTTCGTCCGCTCACCCCGGGTGATGTCCTGCAGTCTGTCACCTGTGTCAAACAAGCTCCCCCGGCGCTCTGAAAACATTTTATTGTTGATTTCTTGATAGCTACCTGTTCTTGATAGCTACCTGAGAGCCGGTTTTGCTCTCAGCTTGTACCTGAGTCTTAAGTCACATCCTTGGTCACAGTTAATCAGCTCTCTGATGCCTCCCGATTTATGAAGGAAAAAAAAAATTCTAGGTGAAATGTAGCTTAGCTAGAGAATGTTTCTGGTTCTATAAATAGCAAGAAACGTAATCCAACATTTATTGAACTGTGTTGGATTTTCGGCATAAGTAAAACTAAAAAAACAATAGAGCTAAATTTCATCATTAAAGTTAACTGGCTACATAAATCAGCTATGTTGCAGAAAAAGTTACTAGATTCTAGATTTGATACTAGATACTAGATTTGAAGTTCCTCTTTAAAACAAAACTGTGCTTTCAAGAATAAAGTCAAACAGTATAAAATGGGAATTAGTTATTTTTATGTAGTACACGAATAATTTAAGATTAAGAATAATTCTGAGATAAAAGAAAGGCAAAAAAAATTTAAAATACTCCATATTCATCACATTACTCAACTTTCATGAGACTGAATAATGTTTACTTTTCTTGTGAACCAAACAGTGCATCTTCCTTATTCACAGTCCTACACAAGACTGTGAAAAAGTTCATAAACCCAGTATTGTACCTTTCTGTAAGTCTTTTAGAGAATCTGGTTTCCTTTTTGGGGATGTGGCAGTCCAGTGTCAAGTAGGAAGACTATGGGAGACTCAGAATGAAAAGTCCAAGTGCTCTACTGTTACCAATGGGGAGTGACCTTCTCCATTTCATCCCGCAAGTAACTGAGATACCAATCATCAGCTTCACACATTAATATATTCTCTCCATTTATGCCTCATATTGAAATCTGTGTATAAAAGCAACCTCCAACAGGGGATGTCATCTTCAGTGCTTTTGTGGAGGCTTTTTTTTGGTCTTAAAACAGAAAATTTGTGACATCTGTGGATTGTGTAGAGAACAAAGTGCAACAGAGATTGGAATGGGATGGGAAGAACTCATAACTTGGTCACAAAGATTTACATGGCTCCAAGAACTTTCCCAAGAGTTCCCTAACTAGTAGGATACTATGAAGAACCTAGAACTAGTATTTGATCAAAATTTGATCAAACTATCTTGTGCGATCATTTTAATGAGTTCTGTTTTCTACATCCATTAGGATTTCTCTCTGTAAAAAACTGAAAACATACCAGGAAAGGAACTACATTGTGAAAGGTCTTTCACTTTGGCATCAAAAATTCAACAGATAATTAATTTAGAAACCAATGTGGTTCTAACAGATTTCAAAGATGAGCCTTATTCATAATTTCACATGCAGAATTCAACCTACATTTTAAAAAAAGATTATTTTAATCAACATGTAGACAGGAAACTGGGAGATTTCACAAGGATTTTTTAGAAAAAAAAAATAGAGACTTTATACCATTGTTTGTTAAAAAAATAAAAGGATGGTGATTTTTATAGTTCACTGCCCTATGGTAATCGTAGACAAATACTTGAGGCTCTGTAATCCTATTACCAATTCTGCAACTTAGTGAGAATCTAAATTGGTGCCCTGGATATTGTATAGTTAGACTCCTGACTTCAGCCCATCTCCAGATATCCTGACCACATGGCTTCACAGGACAAGCTCCTCAGGTTTTTCACTTTGCGAGTTTATGGAGATCTAGGGAGTATAATAAACTTTACACATCATTTGCTGCTTTTTCCTGACTGGAACAGCACTCTGAGATTCCACCAGGGTTCTCTGAATGTCCCAGACCATTCTCCCACTTACAACAACTTCCTCTATTTCTGTGCTCTAACTTTGGATTTGGCAAGATGCACCAGTTCTTGTACTAACCCAAGAATTCTTTTCTTGCTCCTGACTTGAATTACCTGTGTGCATCTCTTATTACAGTAACTTGAAGTTTACCTCGTTTTGTTCTGTAAAAGCCAGGACTTACAACCCTCAGGGTCTCGTGCCCGGGCTGCACAGATCCTTGCAAGGCTGGAGTGCAGGTGAGCATCGTTTCCAGAGATCTCACACAAGCACAGATATCTCCTGGTCACACACAGCACCAAGTACAACCAACCTGCTGGTTACTGAGGTTCACCTGTGGGATCAGATGATGGCAAGGCCAAGACAAAATCATTATCTCTGCCAATACTGATGAATTCATGTTTAGAAATTACAGAATTACAGTCTTTGTAACTCACTGATTTATATATTAATGTAAATTTATATATAAATGTAAATGATAAATATTTGATGCAGAATTTGCAGCTTAAAAATCAGAATGCCTTTCAAATATGAACAGGAAACATTCTGAGGAAAATCTTACCTTAACCATATGGAACTGCACTGTCAATATTGAGGCAGGAGAGAACAGTGCAAGGCATTTTTCCTGGTTTACATATACCTTGTAGCTGAAGGGCAGGATGGCTTAGGGAAAAGTGGGACAATCAACTTTGCTTTTGATCAAAAGGCAGATATGCCTGAAGCAGTGAGTGCTCTTGAATGCCACATACTTTCCAGGAGAAGAATGGGGCTGGAAGTCCCCTAGGATCTTTTACTATAAATAACTATAAATACATAACAATAGCAGAATTAATCAACCCCTCTGGAGCAAGCTGGTGAGTATGGCATCTGGTGCACCTGACAGACATTACTCTCAAGCACTAGTTTAAACTCTCAGGAAGGGCTCTACTCTGCTGCATATCTAGACAAAGGAAGCTCTTCCCACACTATTTACTCCCCACTCATGATTCTACAAGTGTCTTGGCTCACAGCTCTGCAGGATCCAGCCCAAAGCGACACAACAGCCCCCGTGTGATTTTAGATGGTTTGTACATTGTCACTTTTTATAACAACACTTGTAGCTCCACTTCCTCAAATGCAAGTACAAGTGATAATCCTTTCCTGTATAATTTTGCAAATTAAACCTAAATTATTCAAAAGTACAGCTGTTGTTGTCTAATCCTTGCTAGTTCTTTATGCAGCTTTCTCCATATAAGTCACAATTTTTTCTTGGAATCCAGCACTTGAATGAGTGCAAGAAATACCTTCTGTCATGCTAAAAGCAGAAACCTTCCTCCAAAAGGGAAAAACTAATGACATTTTCAATATCTTTCAGTATTTTATAACAATTACTTTCCAGTTTATTTCAGGCAGCTGGAAGACCCTTTCTGCTGTTAAGCACAGTGTGCTATATACAAGTCCAAGGAGATGTAGAACAAATTATTTAAATACAATAATGTTCCTAAAAAGACATACTTATGCAGCCAGAAACACCTCCTACGTGACTTACAATCAAACTAAATGAGCTATACATGCATATCAAAAAGTGAAACTGGAGATGTGTTGAAATCAGACAACACTGTCATGATAAATTGTCACTCAATAACATTCTAATGGTATGCTCTGTTTTCCCTGGTTCACGCCTTCCTGCTTACCAATTTAAATACATTATTAATAATGTCAATAAACAGGTAGAAAAATCTTTCCAGAAAAGCTTTTCATAAGCATCCTAAGTTTTCACATGATGAAGTTTTTCTCTTTCTCAGAATTTTGATATGTGATGACACAGAAAGAGTAATTTCCCTTTTTCTAAAAAGTGACCTTTGCATATGACTTTACCCAACTCTGTAAGCATTCATTTTTCTCAAAACAATGCTATTTCCCTATAACTGCCTTAATAAAATGTCTGTGTGAGAAGCAGATTGCTGTTTTCACGTTCAATACCTAAACCACAACAAATGTATGTGCTCAACACTAAATCTTAGGGAACC